TAACTGTATTTAATTTTAACTAATGTGATTATTCTCCCACTCAAATTAATTACAAAATCAATGTTTCATTGATTTCATAATTAATTCAGTCAAGAGCCTTGGTAGTACAGTGGTCTAAAGCACCCTGTTATTAAGACCAGCTGCCTGCAATTACTGCAGGTTCGAATCTCGCCAGGCTCAAGGTTGACTCAGCCTTCCATCCTTTCTAAGGGAGGTAAATTGAGGACCCAGTTGTGGGGGCAATAAGCTGACTTTGTATAAATATACAAAAGTATGAAGGCTATTGCTTAGCACATTGTAAGCCGCCCTGAGTCTCCGGAGAAGGGCGGCATATAAATGAAATTAAAAAAAAAAAGTTTTATTTCTATTGGGAATAAAACTTAGCCTGCAGCACACTATTAAAAAAAGTCTAAAACAGTGGATTATTTATAGTATAGGCCATAATATTTAGGAGCTGAAGAATGTACTAAATTGCAGAACAGAATGTGACAATTTAACATAGCCTTCAAACCATTAAGTTAATGATTTTCATGCAATTCTTTGGCTTTGGTATGCATGGCAAGGTGCCTGAGCTGGCAGCTGTAGGAAAACATTTTTCTATGCACTAATGGAAAAAGTATTGCTCTGGCAGGGCATGTGATAAAGATCCTAATCCTGGCTAAACCCAATTTAGCTATTGGTGGTAATAAACACAAAGGAGTGTTGACTTTATATCTAACAATGACTGAAATCATCTCACATGATAAAGCAAACAAGAGGGGCTTCTGCTGTTTATTTTAGTTCCTCTATTTTAAGATCTGGAGAAAGGATCATTCTTCTTAATCCAGTGGATTTTCAAATTGTATGCTTTCTACAAGAGAGGTTTTAGGACGATATTACTCTAGGAAGTTTAGGCAAAATAATAAAACAACTCTATTTTCTTGAGAGTAGACCTTAATAATTACGATGTGCCCTGACTGGATTGAAGTCTCATAAAGAGATTCAGAATAGCAATGTCTAATTTGTAGTGTACAAGCATGTTGGCATACAGATAGCACCTATGAGGAACACCTTAAACTTCCAAGGATTATGTAGTAGCTGAAAATAGCAGATATGTGAGCCTAGGAAGAGATTAACTATATTAAATTACTTCAGTTGCTTTAATGTATTCTGACAGATGCTATATTTTACCCCTTAAATATTGATACTTGCAAAATATTTGCAAGTAGTTCGTTACTTCCATTAGTAAATCATGAAGTGGAAGACACTACAGCATTCTTGTGTGTGGCAGTGGGCAAGCTGAGATACTATAATGCAGGGGTCCTCAAACTACGGCCTGCGGGCCGGGTATGGCCCGCTGACACAATGTATCCAGCCTGCTCAGTGGTGGGATTCAGCCCCACCCCCTGCCCTGCCCCACCACTCCCACCCACTCTTCGCATGGCTGGCTTTTTGGCCAAAGAGGCTGTAGGAAAAAAAATGCCTTTAAAAGCCTCTGGCGATCCCAGCTGAGTTGCCTGATTGTCAGAGGCTTCTAAAAGCATTTTTTTCTTAAGGTTGTAGAAAAAATGCTTTTAAAAGTAAAAAAAAAAAAGTTGGCCACACCCACTCATCACGACCCGATGGTGCGGTAGGTGCCGCCGCCACCGCCCGGGCGGGAGAGGAGAAAGAGAGATGGAGAGAAAGAGATGAAGGAGAGAAAGAGGGGGGGGGGGGAAAAAAAGGGGGGAGAAAAAGAAAAAGGGGGGGGGGGAGAAAGAAAGAGATGAGAGATGAAAGAGACACACAGAGATACCTGTTTAAAAAAAAATACTGGGAGCCACAAAACCTGGGTGGAAGTAAGTGATATGGAATTGGCAATGCCCACCCAGGTTTAAGGTTGTGTTTAAGTGTTTACATGTGTTTAAGGTTGTGTTTTTAAAGTTGCAGACCTCTGACCTACCCCATCCGATCGCTTCACCCTGCAGCCAGCCCTGTAGGCTTGCGCCTGCCTCCCACCTGGGCAGCAGCGGCCTACCTACCCCAGTTGTATCACCTTGCCCTGCAGCCGGCCTGAACGCCCGCCTCAGACCGCTCCAGTAGGTCATTATTTAATTACTTTAATTAAGTGCTGCAATTGGCATAAATGATGACTGGTCAAAAGTGCGAGGACCTGTCACTTTTTTCAGCCCTCTGGGTAGTCCCTATGTGCATATGGATTACTCAGAGGGCTGAAAAAGTTATTTTTGACCAGTCTTCGCACTTTTGACCAGTCCTTGCACTTACGACTGTCCTCACATTTTACGTTTTGCGCCCTATCTTGTCACTGTGGTGAAGAGTAGTAGTTGTGAAATGAGTGACACGGTTAAGAATGCTGCAATGGGCATAAATGTGAGGATGGTCATAAGTGTGAGGACTGGTCAAAAGTGCAAGGACCAGTCAGAAATGACTTTTTTCAGCCCTGAGTAGTCCCTAGGCACAAAGCCACACCCACCCGGTCACATGAACAGTTAGCCACGCCCACCCGGTCACATGGCCACCTATCCACGCCCACCCAGTCACAAGGGGGGCCCAGCCACACCCACCTAGCCAGTCCGGCCCTCTAACAGTCTGAGGGACCCTGAAGTGGCCCCGTTCAAAAAGTTTGAGGACCTCTACTATAATGTGATCCTTCTATTATAATGTGTGTATTCTCTTTTATATATAGTTCATATAAGATATCAGCATATTATAGGCCATATCTAGTATGTGTTGTGGGGGGAGGGGATCTTTTTTTCAAATAATGCTTTTAACACTTGCAGTAAGTTACATCTAATTTTCATCATGTTCTGGTAAAATGCCAAAATATCTAAAGAATCTTAGAACTAAAGTATGATTAGTCACCACCTGTATAATTTTTGGAAGGAGCGTGTTATTAATGTATGTGTTAGTACTCAGATATCTTCTACATAATTAATAATTTCTGATTACCATCTATTTCAGTTCTATCTGTTGCAACATCCAACTTTCACTTTTTACTTCAGACAAATTATCTGTTGGGTACTTAGGTTTTCAAAAATTGAGGAACAGTCATTATTATCTCTTTATTTTAGAAATTCTTATTGTAGCCTGAAATGTTTGGCAGAGAACAAATTAAAGTGGTAGTTTGGTACTCATTGTTAATTGGCTCTGGGAGGCACAATGAATACCAAAAACAATGAATACCAAAAACAATGAATACCAAACAAAATTTTCCCATAAGGCATAATATAGTGAGTTACAAGGCAGTCAACACAGACGAATTCTAGCTTGTGCGTTGAGTACCAAACAAACAATGAGTATCGGGACAAGATGTTCGCATCAAAATGTGTTGAGTACTAAATTTGATTAATTTCAAAGCAGGTACCACTGTAATTCAATCTATGGTATCTATTATACAGCTGGATTTTAGGAGGCAATAATGTCATGGCCTGATTTTTTCTTTCTCTATCTTGGGAATTTTTTTTCAGATGATACTGAATATTTCCATAATTCCTGGGTATATGCCACCATAAAAAAAAAAAAGGAATCCATAATTGAAGGGTCACAAATTCTGCATCCTATACTTCAGTCTTTCTGATACTCGTTGGTATTAAAAATGGCTAATAAAATTAGTCCCTGCATTCTTCTTGGCAAAATATGTAGTTTGCCATTGCCTTCTTCCTAGAGCTGAGACAGAATGACTGGCTCAAACTCATCCAGCTAGCATCATGCCTAAAGCAAGACTAGAACCCACTACACCAAACTGTCTCTCAAAAATATAAAATGCCTTTTGGGGGGTCAAGTAGATACTAATTTATATAATTTATGTAATTTTATGTATTTAAACAGCTAGTACAAAATTAGATGATTGGATCAACTATATACATGTTAGCATAAAACCAGAACCAGATTGTATACAAAACACCTATATATTGGACAAAATCAAACACTTACCTAACATAAAATTTTGACATTCTCAACACAGCACATATTGTGCATGATTTTTTTTACATTAAAACATTTTAGTAGCTTTGTAAACATAGCTTAGAGAATTGGCAACTGTACTTTGCTTCACGATATGCTTAATGCTAAACTAAAATTAAGAAAACATTATTGTTTTGCTTCACAATGCATTAACATTAAACTTCTTTTTAGCAGTTCTCTAGCTCCCATCCATCATCTGTCTGTCTATCATCTATCTCAGAATCAGTCTGAAAGGACCATTTACAAGTCTAACTCTATAAAAAATCAAAGCATCCCCTTCTTAGAATGTTTTCCTGTAATTTAAATACATTATTTCATATCCTAGGCTCTGAAACAATGGAAAACAGATCTTGATAATCTTATATCACCTTTCTCATATTTAAAGATTATTCTATTATATTTCCCTTAGGTCTTAATTTCTCAAAGCTAAACAATTTTTAAATTATCCTGATTAGGTCTGAAATTTCTAGTCTCTTGATCTTCGTTTTTTTTCTGAATCTATTTCAGTTGTCTGACTCCTTCTTAACAAGTCATGCCCTGGTTTAATTATGATTTTCTGTAATATAACATTATATCATCATTATCAGCATGTTAGCTCAACTCATATTTTCCAGTTGTTCTTTTAAAACCATTTGAGAGCATGAATTAGCAAATGTTACTTATACTATGTATGGATCCTTCCAAAGGGGAAAAATATATTATTTTCCATTACAACCAGAGTGTGGGGGAGAAATGGATATCAGAAGAATAAGTTATATGAAGGTTAAACAGTGAAACTCAATTAGACAGAACCACAAATTCCCTTCATTCAGTATAAAATGTTTACTCATCTTCCCCATTGAGTACGAGCTTTTTTTCCATGTTTTCAGTCATTGGGTATAACTTTACCATTTAGTAAAACTAGCTCAAAAGATCTGCATCTTGACTTTGAGTTTATCATTAACGTAATAACTTATCTTTAATGCAGATTTTAGGTATGAAGCATGGCATTGAATTTGAGTATATAAAACTGTTAGCAGATCTGTAGCACTGATATTTTGAAATGCTTTAATGCTTACATTGGCAGAGTTATTTTGGAAATCTGCTCATCATCATCTTCACTTGAGCTGCTACAAGTTGCTTCAGAATCCAAACTTTCTTCCACTTGAGACAGCAGTTCTGCTGTAGAACAAGCAAACACCTTGATTTCATCAGGTGCAGTATCCAAATTAGACCATATGTTTTTATTCCTACTAGTTTCTAGGGTGTTTTCAAATTTAACCATAGTACATTTTTCATAGTTTCCATCCAAAAGACTCTTTGTATCATAAAAAGCTTTCATTCTCGATAGCTGATGTTTCATAAAGCATTTCATCTGCTGGTCACAATGTTTGACAATATGCTTTGCCAACAAAATTTGTAAGTGTTTCTGACTTCTTTTGGCCCGGTTTAACAAAGTCTGTTGCTTGTTTACACACTGAAGTAACCGTAAATTTAATTCTTGTTCTTTGCTGCCAGGATTGCAATTTATTGATACTTCTGGGGCATCATGGAATATTTGATGGAACAAATCTCCTTTTTTTGTATCAGGATTAACAAATAAAGCCTTGCCACAAAAGCCATTTCTTCGATACCACTTATAGTTTGGAAACTGCTTTTCTTCTGTGTTCTTCAATTCAGTTAAATGTAAATCCAGTAATCTCTCTGTTTCCAAAAAACTTTTCCTTGTTCCTGATAAAACATCCCCTCTAACCTGTACTCCAGATTCTGAATTAATACTTTGATTGAAATGTGTATAAGTGCTGTTACATACAGGATTTCTCAACTTAGAGCAATTATGCTCTTCTAAGTTCTTCTGAATACAATTGTTATTGTTTACACTGAATGTTAAATTAGGACTCATTAATAAAGAACAATGTTTAGACGACTGGGGATCAAAATATTTTAAGTTAAAGCAATCAATATTATGATTGACTTGAGAAGCAGGAAACCCCAAAATAGAACAAGAAAAACTTGTGGCAGAATCGTCATTTATCTTCTCTTTTACTGGTCTAGTACTTTCCATTGCTAGTGTTTCACTGGACTCCATCTCTCTTGAAGGTAAAGAAGATGATAAACAGACACCATGACTTTTCATTGCTTTCTCTTGGACAGCAGGTGTCATAGCTGTTGTAAATTGTTTACAGCAAACCTGTAATAAAAGGAAACAATGAGTAAGACTGTCAAATAAAGTTGGTAAAATTGTAATCATAGCAAAAAAAAGGGCGAATAGTATCAGAAAGAAGTTCAACAAATCCAGCTTTTGCCAACTTGGGCACCCTCCATATTTTGGGGCTTCTATAATTATCAACAATAGCCATGCTGGTTGAATAATTCTGGAAAATGAAGGCCTAATTTCTGGAGAGTATCTTTGTACGATCAAGCTAACAAATGTCTCTTCCATGACATATTCTGATATTCACGTTTCTACTGATTTCCTTCTAATATAATAATTACCTGAGTTGCACACATTTGTAAACTGAATTACATATTATTCAAAATTGAATGCTGTTGATTATGAAAAGTCAAAATTATTTAATAAGAATCTTAATACTTTGCAATCTAAACACACTTATTAATGACATGAATGCATATATACCTATTTCTAAGTAAACTTAAGTATAATTGCACTGCAACTACATTATTAAACTTATTTATTTGGAAGAAAGTCCAACTGAAATAAATTATTTTTTCTTAATAAATTTGGAGAAGGTTAAAAAATAATATTCTATAATATTCTGTGACATACTACAAAGTGTTTTAGGATAATAATGATGCTGTTAACACAAAGCATATTTGTAAGTTGTAAGCATGTATTTTAAAAGGATAGATCAAAAAGATTGCAACAACATTTTATGTACAATCACTTTATGACTGTATTAAGAACTCTAGTTTTGTGTGTATTTATAAAATACCAGCTTGTGGCAAAGAATACAAAGAAAGGGGAGAAAGGAAACTATTGGCATTCCCCATCCCCATGAAAATTTAGTATTATAAGACTACAGTCATTTTTCCATTAGAACTCTTCAAAAGACATTGATTTCAGTGAGACAATCTCAAAAATTTAAAAACTGTGAGATATCTTATTTAGAAGATTACTTCAGCTTACAATATTTCTTTAAAACTCCATTTTCATAATCAGAATGTTATTGGGAATCTGAGAAAGAGAATAGTCTCAAGGGGGAAACTTGCAATATTGCTTGCTAGACCCAGCAACCAGGTTACATATGGTTACTATGACAGAACTGATATTGTTGGCATACATTGGCAAGGTGGTAACATCTAGCTGATTTAGTAAGAAACCCTAGTAAGACCTGGAATACTGCAACCAATTTTGGTCACCATACTATAAAACAGGTTTTGAGACTTTGGAAAAAGTTCAGAAAAGAGCAACTAAGATGATCAAAGGCCTGGAGACTAAACATATGAAGAAAGGCTGCAGGTTTTGGTTTGGCTAGTCCAAAGAAAAGAAGAATTGGGGTGACATGATAGCAGTATTTGAGGAGCTGCCACAAAGAGAGGGTCAAATTATTCTCCAAAGCACCAGAGGGCAGGACAAGAAATAATCGTTGGAAACTAATCAAAGAGAGAAGCAACCTGGAATTAAGGAGAAACTTCCTAACAGTTAGGACAATTAACCAGTGGAATAGCTTGCATTCAGAAATCGTGGGCATTTCATCACTGGAGATTTTAAGAAGAGACTAGACAGTCACTTATCTGAAATGGTATAGGTTCTCTTGCTTGAGCAGGGGCTGGACTAGAAGACCTCCAAAGTCCCTTCCAGCTCTATTCTATTCTATTCTGACCTGGAAGCTAATCATTATAAACTCTGGTCATTATTTGGAGAATATACTGATTGGGAAATTAAAAGAAACGTTTGAGAAAAATCAAATTTATTTAAGAGCATTTTAATATTTTTTATTCTTTCTATAAGTCTTGGTTATTATGACAGCGAGAGGAAAGGATGAAATATGTAAAATGGGATTCTATGTATGAGAAAAACACTGCCTAGAGCAGTGATGGCTAATCTTTTTGCCATCGCGTGCCAGGAGAGGGGGGGCGGGGGAGGGTCGCGCGCGCACGTGCCCACGCGCATGTGTGTGCAACCCCCCGCTCCTGGCACATGATGGCCTGGTAGGCCCGTTTTTCTTTCTTACCTGGTTCCAAATCCTCTCTGTGTATCTGGGAATGGGGAAAACAGCCTTTCCCACTCCCTTGGAGGCTCTACGGAGGCTGAAAGGGCCCATTTCCCAACTCTCGGTGGGACAGGAAGTGACATTTTTTGCTGTCCCCAGCCTCCAGAACCTCTCTAGGAGTCTCTAGGAGCCTCCCTAGGAGTCTGTAGAGCCTCTCTAGGAGTCTCTGGAGGCTGGGGACAGGAAAAAACATCACTTCCTGTCCCACCGGGAGTGGGGAAATGGGCCCTTTCAGGCCTCCGGAGGGCCTCCAAGGGAGTGGGAAAGGCTGTTTTCGCCGTTCCCAGATACACAGAGAGGATCTGGAGCCAGTTAAGAAAGAAAAACAGGCCTTCCCCACCCACCCCCCAGGCCCTCCAGAGGCAGGAAACAGTCTGTTTCCCTACTTCTGGTGGGCCCAGAAGGCCCGAAAATCAGCTGGCTGGTGCGCGCATGCGCCCCAGAGCTGAGCTGGCGTGCCCACTAATATGGCTCTGTGTGCCACCCGTGGCACGCGTGCCATAGGTTCGCCATCACGGGCTAGAGCTTGGAAATCTGATGTATCTCTCATGATGCTTAGCCGTCTGTCAGATTGCAAATATGTCTACAGACATATTTCTAACCAACTAAAAAGACTACAGACATACTTGAGGGGACTCCAGTCATACTGGCATATAATAACCTTTTTGCAACAATCCAAGCATGAATATATCTAAAATTCTTCATAAATAAATTCCAAATTCCATAGCAAGAGAGGTAGTAGTTCCAGCACTGAGCACCAATGGCTCAGAACAAGCAGGGCAGCCTGATGCATACTTTTGACACGCATGCAAAATGACAGACATGCATAAAAGTGTCCTTCAGATTTCACAGACATTAAGCCCTCTCCTTGTAAAATAAGAAGTAAGTTTTAAGCTTTACATAATCATAGACCTGGGGTATCTGCAGAACTGTATATATATTGGTGAAGTCTACCATTTTTATCTGAAGATGACTAGTCTACTAGAGCTTACAATGAAATTATAGTAAAATTATATAATAAATTATTCATTTATTTTAGATATCACAAATTTTGAGTGGGAAAGTATTTAAGGTCAAATTATTGCTTATGCATTTTTATAATAAGAAGGAACAGTTGGCTAAAGTTGTGGTTGCCAAACTGTATGCTCATATGGCACCATGGGATATTTTAAATTGTTGAGGGAAACTCATCAATACTATACTAGACATCTCTTCCACACATGGAAGGAAGCTGACATCTTTTGGAAGGCTGCTCCTTCAGGCACTAGAGATGAGAGGAAGCTGATTTTTTTAAAAAAAAAAAGTATTTCAGCTCGTGAGAGGAGAGTGAAGGATGCCTCAGATGGGTGGGGAAGTCAAGTCATGTGTCTTTTCACTCAAGGACTGAAAAATCTGTTTGGATTTTGACAGGGAGGACTTTCAGCTCCTGAATGGAGAGACAGTGCAGCAAGGAAAGAAGTATGGGATGCCTCAAGGGATGGGAGTAAGGCCCTGGGTTGTCTAGCACAAGCAGCACGACTGTCTTTCTCTTAAGGAGTGAAAATCCTGCTTGGATTTTGGCAGAAAGGATTTTCAGCTCCTGAGTGGAGCTTCCCAGGTATTCCCCCTTTTGAGGGGCAGTCACATTCCTTACCTGAGACCCTCTCTGCTTAACAACCTGCATGATTGCTTAATGACTGCAGTTGAAAGAGCCAGGATTGCCATCATTGAGTGAAGTAATCACATGATATCTAGTTTAATTATTGTTTTGCTCAACAACCAAGATTCTAGTTCCAATTGTGGTTGCTAAGTAAGGACTACCTGTACCATGATCTTGGATCACAGCCAACATCTTTTCTAGTTTTCTTTGGTTCTTTCTCCACCATTCAAACTATCCTTCTATTCAATCTGGGGTCAATTTTTCCCTTGCAGCCACATTCAGGGAGGTTGCCTATGATCCCATGGACCTTAAACTTCTTGATAACATTAGCATGCTTGGTCACAGGTACATGAAGGTTTTTAGGGAACATTGTATAGCCTTTACCTTTACCATGCTCGGCTATTACCTTCTTCCTTTCCTCCTCAGGCAACTCTCTCCTTTTCTTTATCTTGTCCATGTTCACTATGCTGCACACAATGATACAAAATGCTCGAGTGAGCACATCACAAAAACTAAGATTTATAATCTCTGCCAATACCAATATCCATTTGGGGTCAGTGATCTAAAAGCTCTATGAAAACAAGGGATTAACCTGGTTTCAATTAACTGGGCCATAAGAAATTTGATAGGAAACCTTTACTTTGAAAGACTAATAAAAATAATCTTAATAAAGTGGATGGTACATATTTTTTAATTTTCAGGAATCAGAAGTTTCACTCAAATATATAGGAAATTATTAGTTCAAGGTTTTTCAAATTACATTTTGTGAAACCCTAGCGTTCTCTCCCGTGCATCTTTGCTCAGGAGTGAAAATCTGCTTGGATTTTGTGTCCCTTTTGTCTCTAGAGGCTGGTTGAAAAATCAGCCTCCCGAAGGATGTCAGCTTCCTTCCATGGACTCAAACTAGAGTCCAGAGCCTGAAAAGGTTTGACAACCCCTGAACTACCCGACACACAATTTTTGAATATGTTGAATCACAAATTATAATACCTCAATCAAGTCAAAAGGCTGATGAGATTATGAGCCATTCTTGGGAAAAATTCAGATGGTATCACAAACAACAAACAATATGGTGGCCATCATAAATGTATCTAATTATTTCAACATTTATGAAAATAATATCATTACAATGTATTACTTACTATTCTATCTTATTTGGTTTTAACTATTTCATCCCCTGTAAATTCCTGCATATGCTATTGACATAATCCAGAATAGGGATGTAAGCATTCCCGCATTTCTAAGTATGAAACCTTTACCTTCAAAATAATTTTCACTTTTTAGAAGATAAAACTGAGATACTAAGTAGAAAGGTAGCCCACAACTTACAATTATTCATTTAGTGACCATTCAAAGTTACAATGTCACTGAAAAAAGTGACTTATGACCAGTTTTGACACTTATGACTGTTGCAGTATCCCAATGGTAACGTGATCAAAATTTGGATGCTTGGCAGTTGGCATGTATGTATGACAGTTGCATTGTCCAGAGTCATGTGATAACTTTTCTATCCAGCTTCCAACAATCAAAGACAATGGGGGAAGCTATTCACTTTATGACTGCAGGATTCATTTAACAACTGCAGTGACTGACTTAACTACTTTGGCAAAAATGTTCATAAATTGGGGCAAAACTCACTTAACTACTACCTTACTTAGCAATGGACATTTTGAGCTTGCCACCTGACATGTTAAAAGGCAGGTTGAAGATAAAAAATTAGTCAGATCTTCTACTTAAGGAGGTTGGATAGTAAATTGATAGATATCTATTTTAACCCTTGGAGGAATGCTGATGCTCAGCACATATGCATAAATAAAAACACTAATTCAAGACAACATTATCGCATTGGATAATTATCAAGTTCCATATTTTAAAGTAAACTCATGTCACATATCCAGCAAGTTACCTATTGAAATAGAGTAACACATAGGCAGATCAATTCACTCAACAGATACATATTTTAGCATATAATTTATGCTATTATTATTTTCACTATATTTGCTAAAATGTATCAATTACACTTTCCAGAATAACAGAATTTCCCATTTGAGAAGAACACAAAAGCTGAAATTCAGACTTGATATTGTCTTATCATTAGCAATATGATTCTAACAAATGAAAGAATCCAATTGAACACTGATTTACTTCTGGAAAATTAGTAAGTAAATTAGTAAGTGTAAGTCTCTTACACCACATTTTTAGATTTAGTTGGCCAAATAAACAATAAACAGGGAGAGAGGAAAGGAAGAAAGGGAGGATAGAAGAGAAGGAAGCAAGTAAAGAATAAAGAAGAGAGACATTTCTGACCGTCCCTGCCAGTTTCCCCAAGCAAAGTCAATGGTGAAGCTGGCAGGAAGTCCAAAATTGCCGCCACCGCCCCCCAGCTCCCAATGGTGTTTCTTTTTGCTCACTTATAGTCATTCTGTTTCTCTGTTTATATAAGGAAATATCTCTGAAATAATAACCCAACATGTCATGGTTATCTAGTTTAAACTAAGTATGAGTTGTCCTTTTTAGAATATTCACAGGCTACATGTCTGCTACATCCATGCCCCAAATATGCAACAGCAACCTTTTTTTCTGCTTTGTCTTCATGACACTGTCTTCATCTGACTCCCAGTCTATGCCTGCATCGCTTTAAACATCCTTAGTTGCAACAGTGTTAAAAGTAACCTTTTCCCCCTATACCTTGACATTATTTTGGCTCTTATTCTGGTATACTTCATCAATCATTGTTAGTGGCAAGTCATGTAATATTTTGGGGGTGAGATTAGTACTTGTTAATCAATAAGGTTGGTTCAGAAGTACCCGCTCTTTTGATCCTTGGTGTTGTGTTCCAAAACCACTGTTTGAACACTAGGACAGCCTGGTTCTTTCAAACTGGGTTCTCTCCCTATATCCACAGGGACCCTGAGCCAATCTCCACTTTGGAAGGCTAGACTGGTCCAAATAGAAGCTGGTCAGCAATGGTGACAGAGAGACCATACTGTGAATAAGGAGAGTAGTCTTGCTGTTTCATGGGGCAACTCTCTTTGGACACTAAACCAGCAACCAAAAGGAACCTAACTAAATTGGTTGATTAACCAACTGTTAAAACTCCTCCAGATCTGTCCAAGTAAGTTAGGCTGAAAGGGAACCTTTCAACCTAACCTACTTGAACAAATCTGGAGGAGTTTTAACAGTTGGTTAATCAACCAATTTAGCCATCTTTCAAACCTTACCCCCCCTGCCAACCCCAGCTCAATCTCACATCAAGGAGATGGGGATGCAGGATATTTTCCCACTAGTTGGTGATATTTGGTGGAGGGGAACACAGCTGGGAGGAATCCACCAATTCCTGTCCATAAATGAGGGCAACGTGCATAAGGTAGGATAGGGATTACAAGCAGGGACAGCATGTTACAGTATATGCAAGTATTTTGTTAGCTGAAAAGCTGGTGGATAGCACTTTAATTAGGCTGCGTTTAGGAGTCCGCTGAATCTATTTTCAAACAGCAAAAAAACATCCAATTTTATACATCCCATGTTGCTACTTACGAAGAGAGAAAATTTCAGTTAAATAGAAATAAACCTCGGCCGACCATCACCTGTACTTTTTAAGTTTCCCTCTTCCCCGTAGCCAAGGTAGAGCTGAATCAGTTTTGAGCCCCTCCCCCAACCCGCCCCGTAGACTTTTCTAAACTACGAAATCTAACGCTGCTTCCCAAACCTGAGGCGCACTCTTGGCAGGCTGTCCCCACCTCTCCTTCTGCCTCATCGTAAAAAAAACAAACAAAAAAACGGATCCCTCCCTCGCGCCCCCGAACCACGGCTCTATCTCCGCCCCGCCTCAGGGCGTGAGGCAGCATCCCCCCCCTCCCCTCCCACATTCCTTGGGCGCCGCCACGCCCTCCCTCGGCGTCCTCCCCCAATCCCGCCTCTCGTTCCCCGCAACCCTACCGCCTCCGTCCTCTCCTCGCTTCAGTGCCGTTACGGCGCTGCTCAGAACTCTGCGGCTGCCCCGGGGGTCGTTTGCGCTTGTCCTCGCGCGTCCCAGAGAAGGCGGGAGGAAAGGAGAACGCCGCCGGGAATCAACCGTCTCTTCTCAAATTCCCGAGGCAACCGTGAAAAGCAACAGCCTCCACCTCCCCCCAAGCACCGACTTGCCTGCAAACTCCGTCCGCTCGCCCGTCCGTTTGCGGGCTGCTTCTCTTCCTCCGGTTGCCTCAGTTTCGCAGAGCTCAGTTCACTTCCCCCAAAACAAAAGCGGCGGCGGCGGCGGCGCCTCCCTTGTCCCTCCCATCCCACTTGGCGGCCCCGCTCAATTCTGGCTCTCCCCAACAGCCGCTCCGCTCCAAGTAAGTTGCCTCAGCAGCAAACAAGCATTAGCGGGCAGGGGTTTGGGCGGGGCAACCGAGGCCTCTGCTCGGACTTGGCCGCCTAAACCAACCAATGGAAAGCCAAGGTGGGCGGCCCTATGCAAAGCACACTGCGGTGGGTCTTCAGGATTCTCCCAGGATTCTGGGAACTCAGCCGATCTCTTTAGAGTCAATTTTGAACTTGAGCCTCGTCCCGTTCGGCGCTTCGCCCGACTGCTCCCTTCTCGGTTTCATTGTGCGCTGGAATTGCGCATTCGTGGATTAGGGTACTGAGCGGACATTGTTAAACGCTTAACATCGTTAGCCGAATGAATGCCAAGCACGAGGTAGAGAGCAGCATTGGTCCGTTGTTTTTCCGTCGTGTCAAAGTAGTTCCTTGCTGATACAGAAGAAATAATTGCAGAATTGTAGGAATAGCATTAGGAAACAGACTAACAGATAATTTCATTGAAAGCAATAGCCCTGGGGCATTTTAAAATCTGAAAAACCCATCATGATATCCATAAAAGCTTATGCTACATTAAATGTGCACTTTTAAGTGCCAATGCCAGTGTAGGATGCATTTCAAAGAGGCATGAAATTCTGCATGGTTTTAGCTGTCCTGGTATATTTTCAGAAAACAAAAGATCCCAACTTGGCAATTTTCTTCAGAGCACAGAGGAAAGCAAGAGAGAATGAGCAGCATTTGGTTTGATATCAATCAATACTTAGTTGAGGAAGCGGAAGTAATGGGTACTTTGGAGAACAGTAATCCTGGAGGTCTTGATTTTGAGGGAATCTAAAACAGTATCATGCTTTACTTTTTAAAAATGAAACTTGATTAAACTCAAGCAATAAGGACGGAGACATATACAGGACAGTCAACAAAATCAAAATGATTAAAATATCCTTTGTTATGTTGAAGCTATGTGTGTGCTTCACATTCAATGCCCAGTTGCACTTGCCATTTTTGACTGTCGACAATCTGCAGAATCCCTAAAAAAACAAAAGTAGATTCCATGACATAGGAAGATAATGGGGAAAAAAGATACACATAGATGAGATAGAGAATAGTTCCTAATGAAGGAAGTTTAAAAGTTCAATGAGGTGAGAAAAGAACAACAGAAGACGCCAACTGGGAATTCAAAACAGCTTAATGAAAATCTGAACATAAAAAAGAGCTCATACACAAAATAGAAATAATATCAGGTTATAAGCGAAGAGAGGAGGTTGCCCAAACTATAGGGCTGATATCAGGAAAGTAAAAACTACCATGTTTTCTCAAAAATACAACCTACCCCAAAAGTAAGTCCTAGCTTGGTTTTTAAATCTGCGCTCAATAAGTCCTACCCTCCCCAAAATAAGCCCTAATTAAGACCCTGCCCACTCCAGGGTGCATGGGTAAAAATTAAGCTAGGGTAGGGATGGTGGGGTGGAGCTGCTCTACTATTTACCTTTGGACAGTTTCAGCCAAGCCACGCACATCCCGACAACTGCCTTGCTGGCCCATTTTTTCTGCAGCCAGCAAGGCTTTCCTAAAGGCCTCTGCAGCTGATAACAGAGCTCTGGATCGATCTGGAGCTCTGTTATCGGCTGCAGAGGCCTTCAGAAAAGCCTTGCTGGGCTCAGAAGAAGTTCCTCTGACAGCGAAAAGGAAGGCCAGGGGCAATGCGCTCAAGTGAGGTGAGTCAGTGGATGATACCCCTCCCCCAGAAATAAGACCTGGTGCCTTTTTTGGTGGCAAAAAAATACAAGACTGTCTTATTTTCAGGGAAACATGGGATGACTTAGCCTAGGTTAAAAATAGATATTAAACCTAATCAAAATGGCTTCTTTGGATACTGTATATTCAGAATAAAAGGAATCTGTATACTAGCTACTCAGTGAAGACAATAAACTGTTAACATATACAAGATTACTCTTCTCTTCCCGTCCTTCAAAATGTTTATGTTCCAACAGGAAATTATGAAGGGGGTAGGATTGACATCCAAGACTGACCGAAGCAGGAAATACTACTTTATTTTTTATCAGACTGAAATGAATTGCATTCCAGAGTGTTTAAGGTCTGGCTGAGCCTCTACATATTATCTTTGAGAAATCCTAAACAACTGAAATGCCAAACAATGGAGAACAAACTTTCCTTTCCAACATCCGTTGGGAGGCATGTCACCTGCAAGTGGGAAATAACACTGTTTTCAAGATTAGTTGGCTTGCCATACCTATCTTCCATGAGCTTATCTAATCGCCTTTAAAGCCAAGTACATTAGTGGCTATTGCCATGTTTTGTGGCAATGAAATACACGTGCTAATTATAGTTTTTTGAGTTTCTTCCAATGAGCTTCACTGGATGACCGCTTTTCTTAGTTTTCAGATGATAAAAACTTCTGCCCACTTTCCTCAAACCAAGCAATTTTATACACTTTATCTGCATAAAATACTGAAGGTTTTTAAGAAGAGATTGGACAACCATTTGTCTGAAATGAGTTTCCTGCTTGAGGATGGGGTTGAACTAGAAGACTTCCAAAGTCCCTTCCAACTCTGTTATTCTGTTTTATTTATTTATTTTTTTGAAGAATGATGAGTTTTAACATCTCATCAAATACACTACAGAACTTTTACATTCATTAAAAATGTCTTGTTTTTATTCAGCTTTTTTTAGATCATTGAAATGTCCCCCATCCAACTAAAGAGTAACTAATATTTTAGTGTGTTCTTATAAAGATTCTGACCCTCCCTTCCAATCATTTAATTTATACTCCTTTACATCTTTTTACTTTCATTATAACTTATTTTTCAAATCTGGACACTAGAACTGTACATAATATTCCATATTCACCCACATAATACATTTGCACAAAGATTAGAATTTTGGCAGTTTTATTTTCAGTTTCTTTCCTAATGATTCCCAGCAGGACAGTTGTGAAAATGCAATTCATTTTTCTTGATACAGACCTCTTGGATCCTGTCAGTGTAAATATTTTTTTTGCCTCATACATCATCTCACACTTAATTATTTAATATAATTATAAATTGCTGTAAGAAAAAAAAATTGGATGGGATAACTAATACTAAGAATACTAAGATAAAATATAAAATGATCCTAATAGAATAAAAGTAACGGAATGAATTCAAAGTGCTTCACTTACAAAATAAAAATCAACTATGTGAATATAGTACACAAGGATATCTGGTTTGGTAATACTACCATACTTGTGAAACAGACTACTAGAATAGCAGTTGATTGCCAGCTGATTATGAATCAGCAGCACATTCTGGCTACTGAAAAAGCAAATGCAATTTCTTTTGCTTCATCAATAGAATTATAATTATATTTTGTATCAGTTCAGAAATAAATCTAAGATTATAATATATGTAATATTTTAAAAAGAAAAAAAATAGATTCACATTCTATTATTTTGAAAAAATCCATTATGTAAGTTTCTACAATTGGCATTTCCTCTGGCACCCAAAATTTCTTTAAAAAGTATGTTGATTTTGAATGTAGAATCATAGTACATTGCATCCAGAGTAACTTCAGAAGTTTGAGAATTGTTAAAAATTCAACAAAGCGTCTTGCATTGTTCAATGTGAATTTATATCATCAAAGACAGACAGTGATTTAATACTGAACATTAAAGGTCAACCTGAGAAACAGTTTTTTGTTATTGTTTTACAACTTTTACAACTTTTATTCCATTTCTTCATAAGCTGGGATCATATGCTGGGATTTTGTTTTTGTGAAATTTAATTTTCTATCAGGTAACTGCAACTAATTGTTGCTTACAATATCTCTTGCAATGAGCTCTTTCATTATTTCATTGGTACCACCATAAATTGGCTGAACACGAGAATCTACAAAAGATCTGGGGAAAAAAAAGATATTGAAGCATATGAATTAAGCATACCAATACTAATAAATATAAATATCTATGTCTTTTATATCTTTTCCTACCAAGATATATTCTTAACGATGACCTTGTTAATGGTGATTGGTAGCTTTTGAGATAATGTGAAATGCAAATTTTAAGTTTCTGCAATCTTATTTTCCAGAATGTTTCTAAGACCTAAACTTCTTGGGAATAAGGATGACAAGTATAATTATTAAAGCTGCTTAGTAAAAAGACAAAATGGAGAAAACTCTGGATGATCCAAAAGAAGAGGAGGAAAGAAAGAAAAATAGTTGTAGCAAAGCAGCTAACAGTGAAAACACAAAGACAATTTTGGGGATGACTTGCAATCAGACGTGGTGAAAATCAAAGAAATGACAAGTCAGGCTAAAGCAGGTAGTATGAAAAACGTATTCATGTATTTAAAATACGTATATGGTACTTATCATACCATATACAACATTAAATAGTTGAACTTTCTTTTTAAATTATAATAAAACATATAAAACAATCTTCTGTCAAATGTCAAGGCTGGGAAGGAAAAGCAGAGAAAATGCTTTGTGTTTGTGGGTTTTCTGTGTCTGCGAAGTGATCCAACCAGTTTGCCTTTTTGTAAAATGGATACGTTATAACCAGTGGTGGGTTCTTCCCGGTTCCACCTAGCCGGTAGCGGTGACAATATGATGTCACTGAACAGGTTCTGCCCCTGCGGGGCCCCCACCCCCACCCCCTGCGTTATTCTTACCTTTTATTTGACCCCACCCCCAATCTATTGCTGCTTCCTGAGTCCCAGCTGATGGGCTATAAAGAAAAACTGTTTAAACTCTTGCGGTGGGGCTTCAAAGGGCCGCCCTACAGCTGATCAGTGGTAAAAGGCAGTTTGGTGGTAGACCATTGCCTCCCAAAACAAATGAGTAGACTGGTGCCTGCAAAAATAAATGGGTAGACTGGTGCCTGCAAAAATAAATGGGTAGACCAGTGCCTGCAAAAATAAATGGGTAGACCGGTACAGCTCTGCAAGCAGTTAAAAGCCTGGTAGACCAGTTCCTCTGCTAAATCCTAAAGAATTGTCACACGACCATCAAGCCATGCCCACAAAATAAGCCACGCCCATAGAACCGGTAGTAAACATTTTTAGAACCCAGCCCTGGTTATAACTGATCACACCAACTACAGGAATAATTTTGTAAATGGACACATTTCCCACATCAGGTATTTTGTGATGGTAACCACGAGACCCAAAATTCTACTGATCCCAAGGAATCTATAATATTTAATTATATGACACCAATATAACACAGATGTTAAAGAACTACTTAAAATAGCTGATATAAAATAAAATTAAAATAGACATAAAATTAAAGTTGAAAGTAACAAAGGGGCCATAAAGTTGTATATAAAGGGAACATATTACCGGAAAACTTAACAGTAATAAAAACCTGAGCTTGCTGCTCACATTATATGAGGTAAGCTGACTGGAAAAGTAAAAGATTCTTGAAGTATTTATGTTCAGTTTGTTCAACTAAACTGCATTACTAAGAGCCTTGGTAGTACCGTGGTCTAAGGCACCCTGTTATTAAGCTGGTTATTAAGACCAGATGCCTGCAATTACTGCAGGTTCGAATCTCGCCAAGGCTCAAGGTTGACTCAGCCTCCCATCCTTTCTAGGGTAGGTAAATTGAGGACCCAGTTGTGGGGGCAATAAACTGACTTTGTATAAATATACAAAAGAATGAAGGCTATTGCTTAGCGCATTGTAAGCCGCCCTGAGTCTCCGGAGAAGGGCAGCATATAAATCAAATTAAAAAAAAAAATACTAACAAAATAAAAAAAGTAACTTACTTTGCAATTGGGTACTCCCACATATATCCCCATCCTCCATGAAGCTGCACACACTGAGTAGCCACATTATTTTGGAGATCAGAAGCCCTTAAAGCATAGATAAGTCTGTTTCAAAACTATTTGAATTGTTATACTCAAAAAAATAGTTGAAATTATCACTTCTATTTATCTAGCTGCATTATTTAGCCAAAAACACATGAGAAGTTTTAACAGCTAGAAAATATATCTAAGCAATCATACAATAATTTATATACAATTCAAAATCTCATTTTGGCAATGGCAATTGAACAAAAGGGTTTTAAATGTAGGTTTAAATTTAACAAGATTCACTATACATAAATGCTCAATACAAACAATTTAATGGTTTATCTTCTACTGAAAATGTTTTCTACATCAGTTTAAAGTATGGAAAAATTATCTGTACCAAGAGAATTTTCTATTCAGTAATGAAATCTCCACAGCACTATATGATGAATATAGCTAAAATCAAATTCAATTACGTAAAAGAGAAACAACTTTAAGAAAGATACTTTAAAGATTACATTGGAAAGCAAGATAAGCAGGTCATGAATGGCAATACCCAAAATATATATCTAGGTACAACCATAAATAAGCATTCTGCACATTGCTGGAAATCCTACTAAATAGGTATGTACAATTGCAAATAGATGAATGATTTCCTTTTATTAAAACTAAATATAATTGCTGTTTCAGTCCAATATTATTTTATATTACTGGATATTTCTCATGTGGACATCTTTGGGCTTATTTTACTAATTTTCATAAGAGACAAACATTTCAAGAAAATGTGTTCTGCTCTTTCTCCTAATTTTATATAGGTAGCCCTTGACTTACAACCATGATGGAGCTCAAAATTTCTGTTGTTAAATGAGACATTTGTTAAATGAATTTTGTCCCATTTTATGACCTTTCTTGCCACAGTTGTTAAACGAATCACTGTAATTGTTACGTTAGTAACACAATTGTTAAGTGAAAGTGATTTTCCCATTGACTTTGCTTGTCAGAAAGCTACAAAAGGTGATCACGTGACTGCACTGCAACCGTCATAAACATGAACCAGTTGCCAAGCATCCAAAATTTGATCACATGACCATGGGGATGCTGCAACAGTCATAAGTATGAAAACTAGTCATAAGTTCCTCTTTTTCAGTGCTGTTGCAACTTTGAACGGTTACTAAATGAACTGTTGTAAATCAAAAACTATCTGTATCTTACTTCTTTTACCCATGCAGTTAATTTAATCTGGTATCAGTACACAATATTTCCTTGGATGTTTTCACTTTGGTGAAACATGTTAATATGTAACAGCAAAAAATTCCAAGAGCTGTTTCTGGCTAATGAAAAACAGAATTCTAAGGAATCTAGGTAAAGCTGTCTTATATAACAATGGACTGCTTTTCTGGTCAGATTTAAGAAAAATTCTGCGTGTGTATGTGTATGTTTGCAAATGTGTACATGTGTGTGTAATATATATAGAGAAATATATAGAATATTCTTTGTATTTAATACATTGTTAAACAACTATTTATTTATTTCATTTAATAATGAATCCAAGAAACGTTTGATCATCTGCCCTTATCAGACCCATTTGGAATACTGAGGGCAGTTCTGGATGCCATAATTTAAAAAGGATAATGGTACATTGAAACAGGTTCAGAGGAGGGCTACTAACAAGGTGAAAAGTCTGGAAACCAAACCCAGTCAAAAAGTCTGGAACTGCAACTGAGAAACAGTTAATAATCTGGATATGTTTTACCTATAGAAAATATAGCCAAGGGAGATAAAAAAGCAATCTTCAAATATCTGAAGTGTCAATTTACAGAAAAGGGAATGGACTTCTGTTCCATTGCTCTAGTGGGCAAGACCAGAACCAATGGGTAAAAAACAAGGAAGGAGTTTCACATTAGACATTGTCTTCAGTGGACAAGTTGTCAGCCAGTGAAAGAGGCTGCCACACAACATAGTGATTACTCATTCACTAGAGTTCTTCTACAGAGGTGTTTTGATGGGTTTTGTATTGAACAGGGTGTGAACAGGATTATTTCTATAATCCCTTCCAGTTATGATTCTAATGAAATTCTGTTTAAAGCAAAACCAAGATTGCTTAGTTAAGGCCCCTTATACATACTGTACATATTGACATATATTGTGAGTGAAAGAAAATAGAACTGAAAATAGGGTAACCCATTTGAATTTTCTGCAGAAGGTATTTGTCCCTACAATTCTTGAGTATATTATGAGATTATATTTATTGTCACTTGTCAGATATAGAGCATATATATATGACATTAAGCTCTTATTTAATAGACGTACCAGTATTTGGCCATTGAAGCAGTAGCAGAATCCAAGCATTTCCGTGAATGAAGATCAATACAATTATCCAAAAATGTCCGACTTACACAAATCTGTGTTTTCAATTCTGCTAATTTGTGTTGCACAGTCTTCCAATTGGAAAAGAAAAGATACAATGTATGCAAAGTTATTTTTCAATACTTGCAACACATTATGAACATCTCAATTATATCTCCATAATAGCTGGCAATATTTTGCAAAAAATGTTCAAAGACAGTGTCCATAGAAATTCTTCAAAATTTAAAATGTATTCACTGGCCCAAAGCAAACTAACAATTTAATCACATTGAAACTATGTAAAAAAACATTTTAAGCCTTAATATTTAGAGGTAGTCCTCGACAATTGAGCCCAAAATTTTCATTGCTAAACAAGACAGTTAAATGAGTTTGGCCTATTTTACAATCTTTCTTGTCAGAGTTATTAAGTGAATCACTGTAGTTGTTAAATTAATAACACAGTGTTAAATGAATCTGGCTTCCCCATTGACTTTGCTTGTCAGAAGGTCATAGAAGTTGATAACATGACCCTGGACACTGCAACCATCATAAATACATGCCAGTGGCCAAGCAATTTTGAACAAGTGACCATGGAAATGCTGCAAAGGTCATGTGGAAAACAATCATAAATCACTTTTTTCAGTGCCATTGTAACTTCGATTGGTCACTAAATGAATGGGTGTAAGTCAAGGACTATGTGTATTTTGTGGGGAGTGAAACCCCACCACAATTCTTTCTGACTTTAGTAGGTACAGTATTAGTTATATACTGTGAATGGATGTTATCTTTATGAAGACTGTTGTATTGTTCAATGGTAATAATAATGCATCTTTTTCAAAATTCTAGTTTAACTTTAGTTTAACAACACAAACTTTTATAACTGTAAATTTTAACCAGGTCAGTAAAACTGATCATGAACAGAAGCATTTTATATCTAATTAATCTTGACAGTACATCGGTTTTGTACCTAGACAGAACATGTGTTTATTTTTCTTTTTTCGTATTATACTCATAATTAATTTCATATGAAGGTCAATTTTATACAGTTCATTTTTCCCCTATCTCGGCTTTCATCTGCCATCCAACTCCCCTCTAGCACTGTGTTCTCATGCATCTCTCTGCTCAGTCCCATCTCCTCTCCCAAGTTGTCCTGACCAGCAATTCTCATGTCTCCCAATCTGTTTCCTATTTAATATTTGATATGCATTCTTCCCTCCAGCAAGTTCACCAAAAAGTGGTAATCCATTTTTCTTTTGAAAAATATTTTTACTGAGCATGTTTCAAAAGGAAGTGGTGCTA